CTCCTGATTTTAACGTCGCTAGAGGTGTGTTTCTGCCTAAGGACTGTCCAGGCGGTATTGGTACCGCCGCCCGTACGCCAGCTTGCACGAGGCCTCTATCATTATCGAACTCTGACAACAAGATTGTCACCAGCTGCGTCGGCTTTGCGGTCTCAAAGGTTGTGAAGGACACCGTCGAGGTTTGCCAGAAGGGTTTCGTCAAGGGCCGCCAGCTTCTTGACAATGTGGTTTCCCTGGACGCTGTGTTTTTGAAGTGGGCCATGATGGACGTTTCCCCTCGGATTGGCTCGGCGCTTTTTGATGTGAGAAACGCTTTCCCCTGTGTCATTCGCAAGTATAGTTGTGCTGTCTTACGGCGTATCAATCTTCCTCGGAATATCCGTCGGGCGATCAAGTCGTTGTATTCGAATATGCGTATGCGTATATGTATTCACGGTTGAGAGCCTGTATATATAGCTGTGATGAGGGGTGTGAAACACGACTGCCCTATTTCTGGATTGATTTTCTATTTATGTATCAACCCGATTTTGACAAGAATTCGTAAAATATGTTCGAGTTTGCCCATCGAGATGGGTGCCTTCGCCGACGACATAGGTATGTGCTGTCGTGATGTACTCCAGAGCCTCCCGACGATCTTGAGAGTGCTCTCTGACGGTGGCAAAGCCTCTGGCCTCATTTTGAACCTTGCCAAGTGCGTGCTGGTGATACCGTCACCCGCCTTTCGTGAATCTGTAGTTGCAGACCTTCGGCGAGTGGGTGTGAATATTCGTCGATTTAAGATTCTCAAGAATGGGAAGTATTTGGGTGTGTACTTGGGCATCGAGGGGGGGGAGGAGAGTTGGAAGCCGGTGGTTACTACTTTGGAGAGGAGGACGTTGCAGGTGAAGCAGATGGGGGGAGGCTTATCTTTTAGCATCTCCGCTTACAACATATATGCACTGCCCGTCGTGAGCCATGTGTCGCAGGTCTGGGACCCCACCAAGTCTGTCCGCTTAGCTGAAAGGAACATACTCCAGAGGCTCACCTGTTCTCCGAGGTTTGCGTTCCTTCCAGAAACCCTGCATCAGCTCAAAGATTTAGGCCATCGTGTGGAGGCACGGAGGCTGGAGGTCGATGCCCGCGCCTGCATGTTACGTTCCGCCATCAACTCTGACAAGTTCCATGAGCTGAAAAATGAGTTGCTGGAGTATGCAGACTCGGACGAAGCTGTGATCGCATGGAGGTATAGCCCCTATGCGAAAGATCCCCTCTTCCTGCGCATCTGGGATCTTTATAATCAGTTCTTCCAGATTCACCGCCCCCTGAACTGCAAGCCCAAGGCTGTCCAGGCTCGGGTGACCAAGATGTTGCTCATGAGTCGGCGGCGTGAATTTCCCAGTATTCAGGACGTTATATTCCCGAGGTTGAAAAATGGGTCCCTGATGTTGTGCCTGCTGATGTGTTCCTGACGATTATCCGTGTTGGCGCTGCTGGTCCCAAACTTTATGGGTATGTTTGATCGGCGTGTTTGAAAACCATGTTTAATGGATGGAATACCACCCGACGGTATAGGCAGGCGGTGCAGGTGTGTGGATTCGGCTGTTACGCCGTGAACGGAGACGACCTGCTCCATTATTCGATATGCCCTGTCCTGATCCAGAGCATTCGGAGTGTTCTTCCTTGGCTTCCTGAATGTTGGGGCGATCAACCACTGAGTTCCATCCTCCCCCACCTCTTCCTGGCTCCGTCCTGCGAGCGCTTGCTGACACAATTTGTTGCTGTGGATCTTATGCATAATTGTTTCCAGATTTTTCGGGCTTCTCCCTCTGTCTGTATCACTCCTGCATATACCCTGTCCCTTGTTAAGGCCAGGTTGCGCGTCGGTGCGAGGCGGAGCAAAGTCATCCAGGCCCTGGGTCGGGGAGTTTCGATTTCCTAGGGCTGCGACCTTGCTTAATTCAGGTCTTTTTGTTATTGAACATGTTTCCAAGAATTGTCTGTGCCACCCTGAGTCAGTCTTTGCGTCGGTTGTTGTCGCCCACGCGCGCGGCGGCGGCTGCCGACACCGTGACGACCACGGTGATCGCCGAGGACCGCCCCGCGTGCGTGCTCGCGCGCGGGCTGGGCGGGGTGCTGGACGGTGGACTCTCTTCTCGTCTCGTCTCGTTCTTGCTCTTGACCGCCTGCCTCTCTTCAGTCGGTGCGCCTCCTCCTCCCACTGTGCTGCTACCGCCACTGCAGCCGCCGCCCCTTCCCACTCCTCCCACCGCGTTGTCACTGCCGTTCCAAGTTCCATCTCTTCCCACCGTGGCATTGCTTCGCCACTGCCGCCACTGCCTCTGCCCGCGCTGCCACTGCCAGAGCCGACTGACACAGCCCCTTTCTCGCACTGGCTAATCGGGATGCTATGACAGATGATGGCGGGTTCCAGCTTCACACCCAGCATCTCGCTGAGCAGCGCCAGGGCAATCTGCAGCTGTTCTTGCACGTTCTTCTCGCACGTGCTGACCGGGGTGCTGTAGCAGATGGTGGTGGGCTCCAGCTTCACGCCCAGCGCTTTCGCTGAGAAGCACCAGGGCCGGCTGCCACTGCCCCTGCCCGTCCTTCTCGCGCGCGCTGATCGGGCGGCATAGCCGATGATGGTGGGCTCCATTTTGACTCCCAGCTTCTCGCTGAGCGGCGCCAGGGCCGGCTGCCACTGTCCCTACCTGTTCTTCTCGCGCGCGTTGATCGGGGTGCTGGAGCAGATGATAGTGAGCTCTGGCTTCGCTACGGACATCGGTCGAAGCAGCGCCAGGGCCGGCTGCCACTGCCCCTGCCTGTCCTTCTCGCACGCGCTGATCGGGGCGGCGTAGCAGACGATGGTGGGCCTCAGCTTCGCCCAGAGCTATTCGCTGAACAGCACGCCGTCTGCCACTGCGACTGCTGGGCCTTCTCGCACGCGCTGACCGGGATGCCGCTGTAGCAGATAACCTTGGGTTCCAGCTTCGCACCCAGAATTTCGCTGAGCAGCGTCAGGGCCGGCGCTGCCATTGCCCCTGCCCGTCTTGCTCACGCCCTGGCGCAACGGCGAGCTGCACGTTGCGCATCAGCTCGTTGGCAGCATCGTCACGTCGCACCGCTTCTGAGCCCGAGCTCGCGAGGGCGCGAACTTGAATGCGCATGGCAAGCGCTAGTGTTGCGCCTGGCGCTTGACGGATGGTGCCCAGGAGGTTCGAGCAAGTCCTGGTTTCGCGAGTATCAAGTATGACTGACGTCTTCCGAGTCAAAGCCCAAAGGTTGCGACATTTGGTGCCGCGTCGACGGTCTTGCCTTGCGCAGTGATTGACCATTTTCGCCACGCACTCGTTCCTTGAGTTGCCCGCGTCCGCGCCCAGTGCGCGTGTGGACCCGATGGGATTCGACTTGCGTTTCTCCACCAGTGGTCTACCAGAACTTCTTGTGTGTGCTATCAGCTGGCGCGACCAATACTTGTATCGTATTGTCCCCTGCCACGGACTAAACATGGATGTCCAAACGAATTCGCACCGCCCCCCACCCCCCAAAGTCTCCACGGACACCCCTGCAAGTGCTCGTTGTCATTGCTGGGAACGCTTCGTTGAAAGACGGGCGTCCAAGTTTTGAGAAGAAATGCCTTTCATCCTTGTGATATTGCGCATGCCAGCATATTTGCAAGATCGTGACGGTGCCACGCCAGGGCTCAAGTTTGAAAACGGACCGCAATAAACTAGCACAGAAACAATGAGGACGAAGGACGTGAGTCGGGCGCCCGGGTAGCGCGCGTGCTTCTCCCGCTCGCCGCGCCTGCTGGCCTCGCCGTCCCAGCGCGCAGCCACGCGCAGCTCGGCCTGCGTGCCGGTTCGGGGTGGCGAACAGAGAGCGGTTGTTTCTGCTCCGCGTTCGGCCGTGCCCTTCAAGCGCGCCCGCTCTGCCGACCGCTCTCGATGCCCTGACGGGTTCCCTGGGCCGGGGCCAGCCAGGGGGGGGAGGGGGAGGAGGGGGAGGAGGAGGGGGAGGAGGGGGAGGAGGAGCGGGAGGAGGAGGACGAGGAGGAGGACGAGGAGGAGGCGGAGGAGGAGGAGGAGGAGAAAGAGGAGGGGGATGCCACCGCCCACCCACCACCCCCCTTCCTCGCAGCCGTTGCCGCCCCGTCCGTAGTCCCCGCGGCCGCCCGCCCCTGCCTGGGGCTGTGCAGGCGCTCGGTGCCCGCATGCATATTTGAAAACTCACGAGCGATACGTACAGTAGCATCATGGAGGCGAGGCTGGCGCGAGGGGCCGTCCTCGTCTGATATTCTCTGTCGCGTCGATCTGCAGGTGGGGGCGAGGCTGCGGCGCGAGGGAGAGCCGCCTTACGTCCGACCTCCTCGTACACACTGCTCAGTTCTGGTATTCGGTAGTTATTTGATTTTGGGGGGGGCCAAAATAGTTTTATTCATATATTGTATATCCTGGGCCGCTTCCCAGCCACTAGGGGGCCAGGAACAATTAGAAACGAGCGCACTCAGAAATGAGCACGATTAGAAATGAACGACGTGTATGTTATCATTATTCATTTTTCCCTCTCCCCTCATCCCAAGGGCATCACCACTTGCGTCCGTGGTGCTACAGGGTCCAGGCGCACGGCAGATGAGCGGAAGCTTTAGCTAGTCTGGCCGAATGCGTGGTTGGACTCCTCTGCCCAGTAAAGATCCATCGCGCTAGGCCTTGGCATCGCCATCAGTGGCGGCGCGCGCTACGACCTTACTGCTGCGATGCTGGGCTTTCTTTGCAGACCTCGGCGTCCAATCTGGACTGCCACATTACCCAGAGCGCTTGGCCGCCAACGGAACCCGACTCCGATCCAACATTCTTCAGCCCCGCAGCGACTGCTGCTGAACAGATAGCGACGAACCGGACACAGCGTTGCTTGTGCCAGGTTGGTCTCCCTCCATAGAGTTTGTTGCCGCGGCCAGCTGCACACCGATCGTTGCATTGCCACATGTTGTTGGAGATTTCGCAAGTGTCGCTAGCCGCCTGAAGGTTGCAGTGCAGTCCAGTCGCCTGTGTTGGCGTGGATCGTGACAAACGACTTGTTCAGGCGGCGCCTGCTCGGGGTTGGCGAGACCATGGTACGTTTCTTGTGGGCGTTCGAGGAGTGATCGACAGGAGAGCACACGTTGTCAACCATCATGGGTAGAGTCTCGGAGGTTGCAGGTGCTTCTCTCGAAATGATTGGTCAGGTGGCGTGCTTGATATGTTTAAGGAACTTCCCAAGTAGTGTGAGAGCTCACCCTGTGAGTCGGGAATCTGACCTCCCCCACCCACGCGCTCACTGTTCAAGGTGGAGGAGAATTTGTTTTGAACCTCATCAGGCGTTCGTGGTGACATGTCAGTGGGCCTCTCTCGCTATGCCTACAGCACGTCAGCCTTATCCAGCTGCTTGCGGCAAGTCCCGCCACCATGCCAGTCCAGCATTCTGGATGGCGACTGTTCAGGGGTGCACTGGAGGCCGTCACGTGTAACGCTTCGTGTCTCCATGCTTGGGGGAGCCGTGATGATGAGGAGGAGGAGGAGGAGGTGGAGGAGCAGTAGGAGGAGGAGGACGAGGAAGGCCGTCGCACGAGACACCTGTCGTCTTCACTACATGAGGAGCTCTCACGGAACTGGTTTGGGCCGTCTTGTGGTTGTCTTGGCATCTTGTGGGGCAGTCGTAGGGGTCCCTTGAGGCCCTCTTGCGCCGTCTTGGGGTCTTCTTGGGCCGTCTTGGGGCTCTCGTGGGCCGTCATAGAGCCCTAGTGGCAGCATGGTGGGTGTCTGGGTGCCGTCTTGGCGCCGTCTTGGGCAGTCCAAGGGTCTGAGGCACTCTTGGGCCGTCTTGGGGCCGTTTTGCGGCCGTCTTGGATGGATGCCTCTTGGGCCCTGGTGGTCCTCTTGGGCCATGTTTGGACAATGTCGGGGCCTCTTGGGCCGACGTGAGCTGATAAAAGCGCGAAACGGCGAGAATGCGAACACCATTCAAAAACCCAAGGGGAATCAGTGGTGTGAGCTTATTCGGGCCCTGCTGGAGGTCCTCCTGGGGGCTTGGGGGGCCCTTCTGGAGCCATCTTGGGCCGTCTTGCTGCCATATTCGGCCGCCTTGGGGTTATCTTGGCCCCTCTTCGAGGCATGTTGGGCCATCTTGGCTGCCTCGGTTGCCAGCCTGGGCCGTCTTGGAAGCTCGGGACGCGGACACATCGTTTCTTGTACGATGGATCGTGGCCTCGGGAGCGCGGATCCGTCGTGTTGCACGAGGGATGGCGGCCTCGGTACCGTTGAAGGAAACAATTGCGCAGCAAACGTTGAAGGAACCATTACGCACGACACCCCTCCCGCCCCCGGCAATACTATTGAACGAACGTTCCAGGAGAAAGGGGGGCGGAACAAATAGCGAACCCAACATCTCGAACGGAAGTTTTGCCAATGGTAAGACCGGATGGGGGGGAACGCGATTGTTTCTACTTCGGGCGTGTTTGTTGCAGAGTGTGCCGTTCAACCGCGTCAGTATTGACGAACGTAAGAGCGTTGAAGTACTACGTGGACCATGTATCAATTGAAATACACGCGCGTAGATGTGTGTGCGGAGATCCAAGCGCGGATGGCGGCAAATCATCAGGACCGTAAATGAACGTGCGCACAATTGGCAGGTCGAAATCTGAAACATCCACATGCTCAGTCGACCAGACCCATGTAGACGTACCCCAGACACAGCGGACACGCACTTTTCGATTGCTACATGTACGCGTTCCTTGGAGGGCACGCTTAAATCTGCGCGCGAGCAGAAACATCGATCTTCGCATACGTGTTTTTTGGATGTGAACATGCCCTGCGGATGCTGATTGACGCGGAGCAGGGTGATGACAAACCAGGCTTCCAGACGATCGGTATGGCGCCGTTGCGCCATGGATCCTCGATGTCGTGTGTTGGACTGTTGCCACCACGGGAAGAGGCTGCACGCTTGAGTCCACCATCCCGTATACATTCGCGAGTTATTGCGAGAGGGGAGGCGAGGGAGAAAGTCGGGCATCTGCGCAGGGTCTGCTCATACTCTCATCAGCACTGCTTGAAGGCGCTTTGGCTACTCGGCAGCTTAGCTAATTTGTGAGCGCTTTTAGCACGGCACTGGTGCCTCGCTTTCTGGATACGGGCAGGGACCACCACCAAGTTGTAAACCGGCAGTGGGTGCAGCAACATACGGCAGCCTTGTTTTCATTCAGCCTCTCTGATCGTACCTCGGATCGGAGCCTCGTCTTTCGTCCCTCGTTGCACGTCAAACGTTCATGGAGAGAGCATGTATCCGCAATTTAGGTTTAGAGCTTTCGCTGTGCATCGAAGCTCGCAGCTTCATCCATTAAGCGAAATCCTGCTCGTTCACTGCAGCGCATCTAGCTGCAATGCCACGTCGCTGTTCTTACAAGGTCGCTTTACGTTAATCTTGAATCCCCCCACCCTGAAATGGCCGTCTCTTGTTCTCGTTCATTGTCTTTTTGTTCGTGCTCTTCCTCTCTCGCTCTCTCTCTCTCTCTCGTTCTCTCTCTCTCTCTCTCTCTTTCTCTTTCCCTCTCTAACGCAAGCGGTGACTCTCTCTCTCTCTCTCTCTGCAGATTTCTCTCGCCCAAGCTCGAGGCCATCGCATCGATGCCGATGTTCGATACTCGGGTAATTGCAGCGTGTGTGATCAGGACGCTAGTTCCTCACTCTGGTCCCAGTTTGAAGTTGGAATGGATGGTTGTGGGCGCTCTGGCTCACCCAGCAGGACGTAGTATTCCGTAGTTTCTGAGGCGTGCGGAATCACCAGTGCGCATGGTTACTTGGTCCGGATGACAGATTCCAGAGAGTCGTTCACAGATAGTCAACTGATTCGCTTGCCTCGCGGGACAGGTCCGCCCAAAGTATTGGCTTCGTGTCCCCGACTGGCTGCATGGGAGCGCCAGCTGGCCTCCGATCTCCAGCGTCCTGAAAAAAAGGTGTCGGAAGCTCTTCGTACGCACTCGGCATGCGGAGACAATTTTCGGGCCGCAGAACCCGCCCGCAGAACACGCGGTCGAGCGGTTCGGTGCTCACGTCGTGAAGACATGAGCGGCAGAGGTCAGCGGCTGGTCGCGTGCGGTGTGCACGCCAAGGGCCGCGAGAACGCTCGGCCCCCCCCATGGGGCCGACTCTTCGCGCAGACCTGCGGCGTGCCCGGTCAATCGTTGGTCGACCGATGCCCGGCTACATCTAGCGGCCTCGGGCTACGAGAATGGGTCGGAGGAGGAGGAGGAGGAGGAAGGGGCGGAGACGAGTTAGAAGAACGTAACTATCGACGTATACTGAATTTGGTTTCCCAGATCTCAGCGATATGAGCTTGGTTGACTGGTCAGTTGGCGAGGCTCAGGCTCGCTTTGTTGATCGTTGATGTGTTCGCCGTGTGTTTAGCTCGGGTCTTCGCAAGCCCCCCCACGTGAAGTAGGTCCCCGCGTCCGTCGCACCGTATTCAAGAAACTCTCGTATACACCTCGATTCATTGTCTCGCATTCGTACTCAGCTGCTTCTCCCCTCATTCCTCTTCCTCCTGTATGCCTCCCCCTCCCCCTGCGCCTGTTCGCGCCGTTACTCCCTCTCCTTCCGTCGCGGTCATCTCGCCTCGCCTCATGATCGTACTTCAGGGTGATTGTCACCCTCCCTGCATGCATCCCCCTCTCCGCCGCCCTGTGTTGTCTCCCGCTTTACTTCTCTGGTGGCCTCTGGGGGGTCCTGAGGCTTCGTGTCCAGAGAACTCCCAAGGCCCAAGGGTCGCACGGCGCAGAACTGGTCGTCAGCCCTGTCGGGCGCCTGCCCGGCAGTCAGCTTGGCCGCCAGCGCGGTGACCAGGGTGGAGGTAGCCTTCGGGCTCGGCCGCGGGAGTTCCTGGTTCGAGCGGGTCTCGGGGAAGCTGCGTGGCCACGTGGGGACGGCTTTGCAGCAAAGCATTCGGGACGGTTCCCCGAAAGAGCGCCGCGCTGCCGGTTCGCGCGGTCGACTTGGAGCCCTTGCTGGAAGGCTGGCCAACGTGTCCAGGGAGCTGCGCAGGCACACCGTCGCACAGAGGGGCGCGTGTCGCGGCGCGGTGGATTTGGGGGTGGCCACGGACAGGCGCCACTTCAGCGCTCTAGCCTCTGACCGTGGCCCCCGTCACGACGTGGTGGACATGCGGAAACAAGTACGGGGGCGCCAGGTGTCTTTCTTCCCCTCCTCGCCGCGAATCCGTTCCAACCATGTTTCGTGGCAGCGGCTTCCCGCGGGCCACAGCTGCCGCGTTGCCGCCATCTTCGTGCTCATGCTGCGACACGCGCCCCTCTGCGCGACGGTGTGCCTGCGCAGCTCCCCGGGCTGGTTGGACGGCTTCCCAGCAAGGGCTCCAAGCCGACCGCGCGAACCGGCAGCGCGGCGCTCTTCGGGGAACCGTCCCGAATGCTTTTCTGCAAAGCCGTCCCCACGTGGCCGCGCATCTACCGCAGGACTGGCTCGAACCAGGAACTCCCGCGGCCGAGCCCGAAGGCTACTTCCACCCTGGTCACCGCGCTGGCGGCCAAGCCGTCTGCCGGGCAGGCGCCCGACAGGGCTGACGACCAGTTCTGCGCCGTGCGACCCTTGGGCCTTGGGAGTTCTATGGACACGAAGCCTCAGGACCCCCCAGAGGCCGCCAGAGAAGTAAAGCGGGAGACAACACAGGGCGGCGGAGAGGGGGATGCATGCAGGGAGGGTCACAATCACCCTGACGTACGATCAGGGGGACTGTTGGACAGGCGCCCGAGAGGGTTGACGACCACTTCTGTGTCGTGCGGCCCTTGGGCCTCGGGAGCTCTGCGGGGCCAGGAGGCCCCGCAAGGCCCCCGGCGACCTCCAGGGAAGCAGAGCGGGAGGCCGAGGAGAGCGGCGGGGGGGGAGAGCGAGGAGGAGAAGGAGGAGGAGGAGGAGGAGGAGGAGGAGGAGGAGGAGGAGGAGGGAGGAGGGAGGAGGAGGAGGAGGGAGGAGGGAGGAGGGAGGACGGAGGAGGAGGAGGAGGAAAAGAGGAGGAGGAAAAGAGGAGGAGGAAAAGAGGAGGAGGAAAACACGAGGAGGAAAAGAGGAGGAGGAAAAGAGGAGGAGGATAAGAGGAGGAGGAGGAGGAGGAGGAGGAGGAGGAGGAGGAGGGGGCGGGGGGAGAGGGAGGAGGAGGACGAGGGGGGGGAGGACGGCAATCACACTGATTGCGATCACGAGGAGGAGGGGGGGGATCGCGAGGGAGGGAGGCGGAGGAACGGCGCGAGCAGGAGCAGGGGGAGGAGGGGGGGAATGGCGGAGGAGGAAAACGCCGCGGCAAGACGAAAGGACATCCCCATGACCCTGCGGCCCCGCTGCGTCCGTGGTGCTCCATGCCGTTGGTCTATGTTGCTTGTCCATAACCCCCGGAACAGTAGAAGTACATAGTTGCACGTTCCGCAACGAGGGCTCCAGCGCTTCGCGCAGATCAGTCCGCAGCTCGAAGCTCGACGGGTCGCAGGGAGGCAGAGGAACGGAGGGAAGAGAGAGAGGGGGGACAAGTGCCAGTGAACGCCAAAAGCGTCCAAAAGTCTGCTCTGTCCTTCTCCTCCTCCTTCCTCCCCGTTCCTCCTCAGGTGAAGTACGCGTTTGCTGCTGGCAGGTTCGTCCCCGGCGCGCCCGGGGCAAGGTGGGCCTAGGCCACGGCGGAGGGCGCCGCGCGGCGTTCCGGGCAAAACCGCGCGCTCCCGCCCTGCCGCCATGCGCGCTCGGCTCTCGCACTCACGCGAACCCTCTCGCGCGCCTCCGCCGCAGCATCCCCAGGTGGCGGTCAGGATCGAGGATCGAAGTGTTTCACGGTTCCGTGTCCCCGTGGGGGGCCTCTGAGGGCTTCCCGGGACCACGGGGATCTCTGGAGACGTCTGGACTCGCGCACCTCCTCTCCCACTCTTCGGGCTGCCCCCTCCCGTGCACGGATCTCGTCTGCATCGCCCTCGACTACCTCGGCTTCACTCGCGTTACACAGGTTAGCATGCGGCGGGGGGCCGATCGCGCACTCCAGCTCAGCGGGCTGACTTTCGTTGATCCGGGGGCGGAGAGTGGGATTCTGCTACCAGCTTCAGGCCTCCCAGCCCACGATCAGGAGGGAAAGAGAACGAGAGAGTGATGTTACCTAGTCCCCCGCAGTTGCGGATAAGAGTTAGGGGCCGCGACCCACCCCCGCGGCGACCCACCCTCGCCGCGACCCACCCGCGACCCACTCCCGCCGCGACCCACACGCGTCGACGACGACGAGAACAAGAACAACCACGAAAACAGCAACGACAAACCGCACCGCGGAGCCCCACTACAGCCACGCACCTAGGGACTGTGGAAGACCGGTCAGCCCCTTCACCCTGACGACTTCAAAGCAAACGAAGTGTTCAAGATAACATGTGTGAGTCTGCGGCATAGTTTGTGCAGGTCTTCTCTCTCTCTCTCTTTATCCCTCCATCTCTCTCGCTCTCTCTTTCTCTTTCTCTCTCTCTCTCTCTCTTTCTTTCTTCTCTACACATGGTTGACTTGGGCACACGAGATGCCAGGACGACCAGTCATGTGAAGACTATTGGTTCGTTCGTGGTCTCGGGAAAGCATCCATCAATATTAGAATGATGATATGGTTTGGCCGATGTTCGCCACATGTCGCTCAAGTCTTGCATCCAAGTTCGCGCTAGAAAGCAGCAGCAATCCTTCAGCCAACTATTTTCTTTTTCACAACGCCACCCATGACTTCCTCACGCATCTCTGTACCAGAATTGTACTTGGATCTAAACTGAAATCTCTGTGTCGTGTATTTTCAGGGGCACTCAGGCATATACGCCCGCTTGTTCCCGTTCGTGCAGCTCGTTGCATGGGTTGAGCAGACTGCCGTAGCAGCCCAGGCCGAGATCGCCAAAAGCCCAGCGCAGACAAGACCCGGGGGGGGGCAGCCTGGCACTGCTGGCGCCGCTCGGCGGCGACCATGGCACGACGCCAGAAACACAGGTGCACGCCGGTCGTGATGCTGGCAGCCGCTGCTGCAGCAGGCCAGCGAAGCGTCTCTGCCACCCCACGCTGATTCAAGGCGCTCCGCGTTCACCGCCCGCCCGTCCCAGTTCTCGCCACAGGCGCCGAGCTCCGCCCCATGGCAGGCCGAAGACACGTCGAAAGTCCTCAAGACGGCCCCGCAGGAGGCCACAAAGGATTCCAACACTGTCCAGCTTGCCCCGAGACGTCCCGCAGACGGCCCAAGAGAGAGGGGTTCCAAAGGGGGGTCGTCGAGGTGCGCGCGAGGCGGCCCCCGCGGCGCCCCCCGAGGCGGCCCCGGCGCAGCGCTCGGAGCCGGAGCGCCACCCGTGCAGAGCATCCAGCCCAGACCAGGATGCGGGCCGATCTGGGGCTTGTCCAGGGGCCTCCCCGTTTGTCCAGGCCTCCCAGAGGGGGTCCGAGCAGACGGGGTCGGAGGATCGCGCCGTGTCGTCAGTGTATCGCCGATGCGGCTCGATGTGGAGCCCGATCTGCTTCGTGTCGACGTCGCCGATGCATCGCTCACGTCGACGACGCATCGCCGAAGCATCGCCGATGCATCGCCGATGCATCGTCGATGTATCAGCGATGCGGCGCGATCCTCCGACCCCATCTACTCCGACCCCATCTAGGAGGCCTCTAGCTTGGCTCTGGAATCTTCAGGACGGGCCCCCAGAGCGTGTCCAATACAGCGTGGAAGACTGCGCGCAGAACAAGGTGTCGCAGACGGATCCGAAAAGCGGCTGCGAGAGGAGCACGGGTGGCCCCCAGCCCCAGCTTTGCGAGATTGACCAAGGCCAATTGGTTTGGGGGTGACTGTTTTGGTTCATCCGATTCCTAAGTTGGCCGGAGACCGCCGAAAGGAAACAATCTTAAAGGCCAAGATGGGCCCAAGAGGGACCAACGCGAGGCTAAATTGCGTTACGAAAGCGAGCTGGGAACAATTTGGAAATTGTTTTGGATTCCGGCTTGGGGCCCTCTTCTGTTCCCAAACGACGGGTGATTCTGGCTATGCCCGTCGCCCCTTCCCTCGTCCGCCACGCTCATCCCCGTGCTGATCTTCCCGCCTGCCCCCCGCATCTTTCCCCCTCACTCTGCCCCAGGGCTGGACCTAAACGCTGTTTTGCTGGACTTCGGCTGTGTTTTGTTTTTCGTTTTGGCAGGGAGGTACAGGAAAACAGGTGGAGCAAAACGACAAACAAAACGAAAAACAACGTTTAGGTCCAGCCCTGCTCTACCCCCTGCCTGCTCCACTCATGCTCCTGTCGCCCCTGCTTCTCCGCCCACCCCGGATCTTTTGTGCGGGCGCCTGGTGATGGCAGCACCCGATCGAGGAACGTGTCCGCTACGCTCCCCGTCTCGGCTCGTGCTGGACAGTCGTCCGCATGTTCGTGCGGATGCTGGTCGTGGGGTCGTTTATACAGTTCCGTGAGGGCAGAGGAATGTAAGTTGAGGGGCTCCCTCTCTCCCTCCCTCCCTCCCTCCCTCCCCCCCTCCCGCCGCCGTATCAGGACATCTTGGGGGCTACATGTTGCCCTTCTGAGCAATGTCGCGTCCTCTTGGGGCGTCTTGCTGGGGCAAGCTGGGGCCATCTTGTGTGGGGGGGCACCTTGGCGCTTCTTGGGGGTCCAGTTCCAACTATATTGTTGCGCATTGGGCGGTCTTAGGGTTACCTTGGAGCTTGTGGAGGGCCTCTGGGAGCACTCTGGGCCCACATGAATCTACAGGCCCATCTGATTATTGCGGTCTCGGGGCCATCCTGGGCAATCTCGGAATCCGATTGAGGCCTATGAGGGCCGCCTTGGGGACGCGAGGCTGGCCTCTTAGGGACCAGACTTGCGATTGCCGAAAGGTATTGAAAGCCAGGTGATGTGCGAATTTGAACTCTTGGGGCCCCTCGCGGGGGGAAGGGTACATGGGGGCCATCTTGGCAAGTTGGTGGGGCGATGTGTCAGGCTCGTGGGGCATATCGGAGCCTCGTGGGGACCTCCTGGAGACCGCTGGGTCCCTCCGCCTGTGTCACTGTGTCTTTTTGTTTTGGGGGGGGGTCCAACAGCGACTTGTGACCGGCAGGGTCTCGGACACACTTGCCCGAGGGAAAGGCACCTCGGCGACGCGAGTGCCCTGATGGCAACCAGCCAAGAGAAGTGGCAGGGGAGAGAGAGTGTGAAAGAGAAGGGTAGGGAGCGGGAGAGGGAGAGAGATAGGGATTCGTGTATACGTGTACAAATATATGTATGTATAGAGAAGGAAGAGAGAGAGAGAGAGAGAGAGAAAAAAAATCCCAGTGCGACCCTACCTAGGAGTTGGAGCCCCTAGGAAAGCAGCATTAGTAGTAACAGTAAAGCTAAGCTAAAGCTAAGCTACAGATAAGCTACAGCTAAGCTAAAGCTAAGCTAAAGCTAAGCTAAAGCTAAACTAAAGCTGAGCTAAAGCTGAGCTACAGCTGAGCTACAGCTAAACGCTAAGCTGAAGCTAAGCTAAAGCTAAGCCAACGCTAAGCCAACGCTAAACTAAAGCTAAGCTAAAGCTAAGCTAAAGCTAAGCTAAAGCTAAGCTAAAGCTAAGCTAAAGCTAAGCTAAAGCTAAAGCTAAGCTAAAGTTAAGCTAAAGCTAAGCTAAAGCTAAGCTAAAGCTAAGCTAAAGCTAAGCTAAAGCTAAAGCTAAAGCTAAAGCTAAAGCTCCCAGGGGACTGGGGGAACCGCGGGGCGGGGACTGGGGGAACCGCCCAGGGCGCTTCCCACTGCCCGGCCCCTTTAAGCTAGAGAGTAAGAACCCTTCTAGGCAGAGCCTAGGTAGGGAAAAATTATCCCAGTGCGACCCTACCTAGGAGTTGGAGCCCCTAGGAAAGCAGCATTAGTAACTGTAAATCTAAGCTAAAGCTAAGCTAAAGCTAAGCTAAAGCTAAGCTAAAGCCTTAAGCTAAGCTAGCGCCAAAGCCAAGCTAAAGCTGAGCTAAAGCTAAGCTAAAGCTGAGCTGAAGCTAAGCTAAAGCTAAGCTAAAGCTAAATTAAAGCTAAGCTAAAGCTAAGCTGAAGCTAAGCTGACGCTAAGCTAAAGCTAAGCTAAAGCTAAGCTACAGCTAAGTTGAAGCTAAGTTAAAGCTAAGCTAAAGCTAAGCTAATGTTAGGCCCAAGCTAAGCCAAAGCTAAGCTAAAATAAGCCAAGCTAAGCTAAGACGAGATAAGCTAAGCCAAGCTAAGGGGGCGCCATGCTAAGCTATGCTAAGCTATGATATGCAATACTGTGCTATGTGATGCTATGCTATGCCATGCTATGCTATGCTACGCTAAGCTAAGCTACATTAGGCTAAGCTAAGCTAAGCTAAGGTAAGCCAAGCTAAGCTAAGCTAAGCCAAGCCAAGCTAAGCTAAGCCAAGCTAAGCTAAGACGAGATAAGCTAAGCCAAGCTAAGGGGGCGCGACTGGGGGAACCGCGGGGCGGGGACTGGGGGAACCGCCCGGGGCGCTTTCCACTGCCCGGCCCCTTTAAGCTAGAGAGTAAGAACCCTTCTAGGCAGAGCCTAGGTAGGGAAAAAAAACAAAAAAAAAAAAAAAAAAACGTGAGAAAGAGAGAGCGAGAGAGAGGTGCGCAGGGGAGAGAGAGAGAGAGAGAGAGAGACAAGAGAGTTAGAGAGAAAGAGGGAGAGAGAGGAAGACAGAGAGGCAGAAAACGGTAGTGTCAGAGAGGGAGAGAGGGAGAGAGAGAGAGAGGGAGGCAGACGTTTATACATATGTTAGACAGCGTGGGCACCAAACAGTGTCTTCTAGCATCCTATACGGTTGCAGTATATGTGGTGCAAGCTATGCAGTGCCATCTAGGTATTGCAGTATGTGGTGTGCCAATTGCGCGGTGCAAGCTATTCGGCACAATTGATGTGGTGCTATATTGGTGGAACAAACTATGTGGTGCAATGCATGTGTTATGAGCTACGTGATGCAAGCTACGTAGTGCTACATATATGTGGTGCACTCTAGGTCGTGTACGGTATGCGGTACTACATATATATATATATATATGGTGCAACCGAGGTGGTGCAATCGATATGGTGCAAGCTATGAGGTGCAACCTGTCTGGTGCAGGCTATCTCGTGCAGCCTAGGCGATGCAATGTGAGTTGTAAGCGACGTGGCGTGCAAAGAAACTCAGAGCAATGCCAAGCTATACAAAGCAACGCACAGCAATGCAAAGCAATGCGAAGCGGCGACGAGGCGGCGACGGCGGCTACATGGCGGCCAGAGCGGCCCGCAGGCCCAGCTCCCTAGAAGAAGGGTAAGAACCCCCAGGTGCAAGCGTTGCTTGAGAAATATACGGGTGGCAGGCAGCGTGGCCCCCAAACAGTGTGTTTCTAGCGTACTAGGTGTGCAACATATGTGGAGCAACCTAGGTAGTGCAATCGATGTCGTGCAACATAGTTCTGTTACTGTGGAATGTGTGCTGTTCAATCTGCGTCGTGCAGTTCACGTGGGGCAATAGATGGTGTGTCATCGATGTTGCACAGTATGTGTGACGCAGCCTCTGCGGTGCAATCTGTTTGGGGGCACTCTACGTTATGCAATGTATATTGTGCAACGTATGGTGTGCAACCTATGTGGTGCCATCTAGACTGTACAATCTCTGTGTTGCAGCCAATATGGGGCAGTACATGTTGTGCGACCTACATGGATCGCAATCAATGTGGTGCGACATCTGAAGTCAATCTACGTTGTGAAACATATGTGGGTGAGTCTATGTGGTGCAAATCACTTTGACTGTCTTGATGCTGTCCTCTCCACTGCTCGTGCAAACATCCCACCCTCCCACCCGCAACTTGGTCGCAAGCCCTCTTAAGACCGTGACGGTAGGTACCAAATGACATTTGACACCGACGTTGACGACGACAGCGACAGCGACGACGACGACGCCGCTGCCGACACCGACTACGACGACACCGACGACGCCTCCAACGACTTCGACGACGACAACGAAGACGACGACGACGACGCCACCGACGACGACGACGCCGCCGACGACGACGACGGCGATGACAGCGCCGACGACGACGACGACGACGATGCCGACGACGACGACGATGACGACGCCGACGACGACGACGACGAAGACGACGACGACGCCGCCAACGAAGACGACGACGACGACGAGGGAGGAGGGAGGACGACGACGGCGACAACGACGACAACGACGAGGGAGGAGGGAGGACGGCGACGATGCGAACGACGAAGAAGGAGGGAGGACGGCGACGCCGACGACGACAACGACGAGGGAGGAGGGAAGACGACGACGACGACGACGACGACGGCGACGAAATAGGAGGGACGACGACGAGGCGCCGACGACGGACGACGACGTCGAGGGAAGAGGAATGGCGGCCATGGCGACAACGACGACGGAAACGACGACGACGCCAAGACGACGACGACGAGGAAAGACAGAGGACGACGACGGCGACGACGACGACGACGAGGGAGGAGGGAGGATGGCGACGACGAGGACGACGACGCAAGAGCTCGCGCGCACGCTTTTGTTGATCATCCGTGCTGCAAAACCTTGTGTGTTTGTATTTTTTTGGACACGATTTTGAAATCCTTCTGGAACCAAAGGTTTTTGAAGGATTCCAGCATGCGCGCGCGACGACGTGCGCGTGTGCACTTCGTTGTGTTTTTTACGAAGGGTTCTCGCGACGGCACGCGCGCAAAGGGCGTTCGAATGATTTCGACATGCGCGCACGCGAAGCCCGTTTGGTAGTTTGTTCGTTTTGAAAATCTAGAAGAATCAATGGTTACCCCAAGATCTCGCAAGACCGCGCGCGTAAGATTTTGAGAATATCAGTGTTGCGAAACCCTGTGCTTTTGTATGTTATTTGGGAACTCGATTTTGAAACGCCTCCGAAACCGACGGATTTTGAAGGATTTTGGCATGCGCGCACGACGACGCGCGCGTGTGCACTTTGTCATTTGGTTGCAAGGATTATTGAAAACGTACGATTTGTGATACACGAGAGTGCGCGCATAGCAGTTGTTGCAGGGGATGGCGGGGGGGGATACATGTTTGGCTGGGGTAGCACGGCTCCATATTTAGGATGGACGATGGGGCAGAATCATATGTAAATTGCGAGTCGGAAAGACGTATCGTTAATTCTTGGGGGCGTTGTGCAACCAATGATGTGCAGCATATGGTGTGCCATCTTTGATATGTTATCTATGCAGTGCGGCCAATGTGGTGCAATCAATCACTTGCTCAACTTGAAGCTGTCCCCACTGCTCGCGCAAACATCCCACCCTCCCACCCGCAACTTGGTTTGCAAAACCTCTTAAGACCGACTACGACGACACCGACGACGACGACGACGACAGCGACGACGTCTCCGACGACTTCGACGACGACGAGGCCGCCGACGACGACGACGAAGACGACGACGACGACGCCAACGAAGGCGACGACGAGGGAGGAGGAAAGACGACGACGGCGACAACGACGACAACGACGACAACGACGAGGGAGGAGGGAGGACAGCGACGACGCGAACGACGACGAAGGAGGAAGGACGGCGACGCCGACGTCGACAACGACGAGGGAGGAGGGAAGACGACGACGACAACGACGACGACGACGACGTGGGAGGAGGAGGAAGGACGACCACGGCGACAACGACGACGGAAACGACCACGACGCCAAAGAGGGCGACGACGACGAACACGAGAAAAGACAGAGGACGACGTAGGCGACGACGACGACGACGACGTGGGAGGAGGAAGGACGGCGACGACGACGACGACGACGCAAGAGCGCGCGCGCACGCTTTTGTTGAAAACCCGTGTTGCGAAACCTAGGGTTTTTGTAGGTTTCTTGGACGCACGATTTTGAAATCCTTCCGAAACCGATGGGTTTTGAAGGTTTTCGGCATACGCCCGCAATGACGCGCGCGTCTGCACTTCGTCTTATTTTTTGCACAGGATTCTCGCGACGGCACACGCGCAAGGGCGTTCGACAGATTTCGACATGCGCGCGCGAAGCCCGTTTGGTAGCATGTTGCGAAAATCGTGAGAGAAGAAACAAAAATAAAAAATAATAATAAAAAAACATGTTTTCTTAAGATTTCGCAAGAGCTCGCGCGGAAGCTTGCTTAGCAAAACAGTGTTGCGAAACCCTGTGTTTTTGTATGTTTTTTGGAAACTCGATTGCGAAATCCTTCCAGCACCGAGGGTTTTTGAAGGATTTCGGCATGCGCGCGCGACGACGCGCGCGTGTGCACTTCGTCCTATTTGTTGCAAAGGGTTCGTGAAAAAAGTGCGATGTTAGAACAAACATGTCACCGCATAGTGCTTTTTTTTACCAGGGAACCTCAGGGGGGGGAACCCGGCCTGGCTGGGATGATACGATTTCATATTTAGGATGGACGAGTGGTCAGAATCATATATGATTTACATACCCGAAAGGGGGAACAGATAAGTCCGGGGGGAGTAGAGTCTAGTCGTTTCTTTGTAAAGGAAAATGCATGTGGTGCAATCAGTGTGGTGCGCTCTATTTGGTGCGCAATCTACGTGGCCCAATCAATGTGGTGAAACTCATGTTGTGCATTCTACGTTGTGCAATCTATGTCATGCCATATGCGTGGGGGGCGCGACGGGGCGGCGACGGCGGCAACTAACGCGGCGACCGAAAAACAGGCCCAGACGACGGGCGGCGACGAGGTGGCGACGGCAGCAACACTCTACTACAGACTAGCACAGATCACGATATTACATTCGGCGGGGCGGCGACGGCGAGGACATAGCCGTCAGACAGACAAACCAGCCCAGACGACGGGCGGCGACGAGGCGGCGACGTGGCGGCGACGGCGGCCACATAGCCGCCGGACCGACCACACGGCCCAGACGACGGGCGGCGACGAGGCGGCGACGTGGCGGCGACGGCCGCCACATAGCCGTCAGACAGGCCACACGGCCCAGACGACGGGCGGCGACGGGGCCGCGACGGCGGCCACAGCCGCCAAACCGGCCACGCGGCACAGTTCCTTCAAGAGAAGTAGGAGCCCCTAGGTGCAAGCATTGTTTGGGGAATCTATCTATCTATCTGTATACATACAGATCTACACAGAGAGAGAGGGCGAGAGAAAGAGAGAGAGAGAGAGAGAGAACAAACAAAAAGAGGGAGAGATGCCAAGAGACACTACAAAGACAGCGGCCCAGCAGCACCTCCACAGTCTGGTTCGGGGGCGTGGCACATTTCGGATCGCATTGCTCAGCGGCCTGAGTCAGGATGTCTCTGACTGAGCAGGGTTGGAAGCAATATTCCGAGGGTCGACGCCGCAGCGCGACACGCACTGACGCTTTTGGCATCTTTGGCAAGAGTAGAGTGGGAGGGTCGGCAGAGCGATCCTTCGTCCAGCAGCCGCGCCACGAATCGACATCCATGATGGCCAGCAGCGCGGGGAGCGGTCATAGAAGAAAGCGGCTCCCGAAGGTTCCTTCACGGCAGGCGTGTTCTCCGCAAGTTTTGTGCCACGGGCTTAGCGGGCGGCGCATCAGACATTGAGTAGCCGGCCTTGATCGCAATCTGGTTCTGATCCTGAGGGGTAGTAGGCCAGCACTGGGGACAACAATTATGTGTCTGTCAGGCGTCAGTCGTTCAGCCTTGCAGACATGGATCTGCAACATCAATCGAGCAGTGGCGAAGCGTCCTGGCTCGCCTATAGCCCCACCAAACAATGTTCTAAGAACTTTTTGTGGTTTCCAAGAAATGTTGTTAGGGCATGTTTGGTTGAGACTGTCTTGGTTTCACACATCGGGTTAATGTTCTAAGAACATTGTTTTTGTTCTTGGAACATTTTTGGGTTCCTGCTAGGACTATACGAATGCCAGGACGGTCGGTCCTTGCTCAAATTCAGAAGCTACAGCGAGGAGGGCCCCGATGGTTCGCACCTGGCGAACGGCCACTGGCTGGACGCGGTGACCTCGAGTGAGGAGAAGGGGAGTAAGGAGGAGCATGACCAGAGTAAGCCCTCCATAAGTCCCTACAGGCATGTCTGCTCAATGCGAGCAGCGCGCCCCCTGAAAAATACCAGCACCCGAAGGGCCTTCCACCCAGGCGAGGGCCCCATTTTGAAAATGAGCGACCATGCAACTGTCTACCCCGCAATCCGGATTGCGAAACGGTATGGTACTACAGTTTCACGATCTGCCCAGCGACACCCTTGCTTCGAGAATGGATCGCACCCCACCTGTGTAAATCTTCCACAAGTTCCTATTCTGGCCATGAAGAACGATGAAGTCGTAAACGAGAGCCCCATTTTCAAGAGGAACCGTCCTTCATCCTTGTAGCTGTTGCAAGATTATGAGACAGGTATGCGAGGCGTTGAGGCGATAACCCATGTTTGAAAAGGAACCGCCATTCATCTCTGCAATCGCTGCAAACATTTTAAAGTGAATGTTCGCGACGCTACGGGGAACACATGTTGAAACGGATTCCCCCTCCATCCTTGTCACAAGCGTTACTGACGACTGCGCTCGACGCGAAGGCGAGAGCAACTGATTGAAACGGACTTGTGAATTAGCCTTGTAACGACCGCAAACGTTTGAGACGAATGTGCGCGGCGCCACGGCAAGAGCAACAGTTTGAAAACCACCTTGGTTCAATCCGTGAAATTTTTGCTAATTTCAAGCTTCAGTGTCATACTTGGTGAGGGGGTCTCAGGCAAAACGCCCAGCCCGCTCTGCTGAGAACGTTTGTGGGTATAGCAGGGAAGAGTTATCTAAAAGAAGGGATGGCAGAGGAGGACGTGGAGGAGGATGAGCAGGAGGGCGAGGACGACAACGACAAGGAGGCAGAAGTTATCAATGAGTTCAGCGAGCCACTGAGGCGGCCTCGCGGCTGTTCAAATCAATGGGGAGGAGGACCAGAGGATGAAGAAGGAGGAGGAGAAGGATGATGATAATGCGAACGAGCAGGAGGAGCAGGGGCGGCACGAGGAAGAAGACTAGGAGGACGGGCAGAAGGAGGGGGATGATGTGGAGGACGAGTTAGCGGAACCTGGATGATCAGGAGGAGGAGCAGGAGGAATAAGAGGATTTGGATGAAACGTGTCATATGATAGGAATCATGACATACTTCTGGCTTCTCCGCACGTCCCACTCTGCGAGGGGAAGTGGCGGCCAGCATGCGAACTGGAACGACATAGTAGGGGATCAGGGGCTCGACAAACCAAAGCCGACAGCGCCATCCCGCCAACCGAGTGCTAGAGATCCCTGCAGCGCGCGCCAGAATCTTGGCTTACCGTCGTAGCAGTAGATCCATGCGATTCGAAGGCCAGATGTTTTTTGCGACCCAGGGAGTTACCTCGTTCCTTCCCGCCGCTGTCTCCCCCTCCCTCCGAAACTGGTGGGAGAAATGGTGCCAATGGCACGCAGGTGGCATGGTTCCCCCAGAGCCGTCCCGCTGTCGGCATGGGAAGGCCGCCCGTTAAGCGGTAGCCGCTGGTGGGCGCTGTGCGCGCAACAGAGAGCCGTTCGATGGTCCACGGTTACGGATGGCCACGGGCCTCGGCCGCTACTGCTAAACGTTGGTTCGCACGTGTTATTGTCAGGTCCTGTCCTCCTCCCTCTTCGTCGTCCTCCTCCTCGGCCTCCTCCTCTGCCCCATCCCACTATTCACCGTCTTCCCTGTTCTGCTGCTTCTGCCTGTCTACGTCCTCCCCCCCTGCGTGTCCTTGTCTTCCCCCCTCCCTCTCACAACCCGCTGTTCCTGGTATTGGATTGTCGCGCCGCTTGCACGGGCGCGGACCCGGGTGATGGTGAGCGGTTGTCTTGATAGTGTGCGTCGACGTTGTTGCGCGCGTGCCTGTCATTGCAATTCGCTTGGTCAGCATCCCGCCGACGCGCGAGCCCTGCAGATGCTGACCACGACTTGCGGTGGTTCCCGCCTCGCAGCTCCTGTTGATACGTCGGCCACATGCGCGAAATTCTGGCAGTGACGACGACGCCAAGACAGTCGAGCAGAAGCTTGGGTGCCCGATGCCCCTGGCAACCCACCGCGGAGCGAGAGACCGGCCCGCGCCGTGCGCAGATCGGAGAGGAGGCATCGGGGGTTGTGGGGACGATCGGGAGTACTCATGGAGGAAGGGGAGACCTGGGGACCGATGGAGGGAGAACTGATAGACTAAGGGAGGAAGGAGGGAGAGGAGTACGTACGAAGGGAGACTGTGGGAACTATCAGGAGTACTGATGACTGTGGGGACGATCAGGAGCTTTGGAGACAAGCAGAGGTGGAGCGTTGGTGGAGGTCAGCGGGGTGGATAGCGGGACAGAGCGGATGTAACGACGTTGCAGCGACTAGGTCGAGAAGAGTGATTTCGCAGCAGTTGTTGCAGGATGGGGCGAGTGTGCTCAGTTTTTTATCAATGGTGCTGCGCCCCCTTTAGTCCAGCATTGCTGCAAAGTCCGAGTGGACAAATGGCTTTATTGTTGACCTCAGCTGGTCGATGCAACGGACAGGCGACGCGGCCCACCAACTGTCCCTCCGAAACGATTGACGCGCTGCGCGTCCCCACCAGGAACTGCTCAGGCAAGTTGCCTAGATCATAATAGCTTAGGAACAAATACACGCCGGTCGTTGAAAGCAGGTAGTTCTGGGCTCCCAGATCCCAAGTCTACTTTTGGCGCCTTCCTACTCCAAGGATCGGCTCGTTTCCTTCTTCCCTCCTCCTCGGGGGGCGGGCGGAAGCCAACCCACTTCCAGCGCCTTCCTACTTCATGTTTCTACCCACTTCTTCCGACCAGCGTCTAGTAGAACACAGAGGAGGGTAGCCGTCAAGCCGAAGCTCGGGATCAGCCTGAGCAGACCCAGGAGTCGACCATAACTGCCTGCTCGGGTCGCTCGATCTGAGAGCCTCTTGGCAGCGCATTTAGGGCATCTGGGACCTTCTTCGGATACCATTGGTGCTCTCTTTTAGCCCTCTTGAAAACTTGGGGGCACTCTTTAGGCCATAGTGAGAAGCATAAAGCGTAACATGGTGCGGACTGCTGCGATATTGGGACCATATTGGGCTACACTGTGGCATCTTGGAGGCCATCTGGTGTTACCTGGACCCATCTTGGAGCCATACTGTGCCACAATGGACTCCCCAACGCCTCGCGAAACCCTGGTCCCAACCCCAGTGGAAGTGCTTAGGGGGAGGGGTGACCCCTCCCAGAAGGGGAAGAACGGAGGTTGAAAGACGTGACCCGCTAAACCACCTACGCCCAGAGGGTTGGTGGGATTCCCAGTGAAAAGCCAGATTGCGTCGGGTGTCGGCAGCGGCAGTGTGGGAGGATGAGGAGGAGGAGGAGGAGGTGAACGGGGGTTTAGCAGGAGGTGGGAGGCTGTTTTTATTGACAGTAATAGCCGTAGCGTCGGCTTGGTAACCCGGTTCAGACTTTGGCGACACAACAGTGTGTGGAGGTGTTTTCATGCGTAAAAGCGTTGAGAGGAGGAGGGGGAGGTGGAGGAGAGAGGAAAGAGGATAGATGAGAGGGGAGGAGGAAGGAGCGAGATGAGGACACTCCTGCGAGGTCCACGCGATCGCGGGTGGAAGTGCCAAGCGCGCGCGCCTCACATGTTCATGATCGTCGAGTTGTGGCCATGAACGCTGTGAAGAGGATCATCAGGCACACGTTGCGCAACTCTTGGCTATCATGTCCGCTCCCTCATCCTCTCCCACCCTACTCCCCTCTGATGGGAGGAGGCATGGGGTTTGACTATCATACCCACTGGCTTGATCCCCCACTATTGTGGTTTTGTAGCCGCCCGTCCGCGTGACCATTGGTTTCCCTCCTCGACACTACCACGCACCGTCTTGAAACCTCATGAAACTTGAACGCAGGAAGTGTTGCTCCCATTCAGTAGGGAGTATATCGTGACAGTGTCTTAGATATGATGTTAATCCTGGTGCTGCTGCGTCTGCTCTTCGCACTCATGCAACTTCTGTCGAACATGTTGCGCTTGCGGCGGCCGCAGCGAAGCTCGGGATGAGCTACAGCATGCTGGTACGCCAAGTCGGCGGTTGCGACGAGTTGCTTCCATCATTCGGCGTGGGCCCCCATCAAGTTACGAAGCAATGATAACTACATTCGCTGGGGCTGCATCAAAGATTGACCGGGACCTGGTCATAAGATTTTCGTCCAGGAATCCCAACAAAGCCCCTCGTGCACAATTCAATGTGTATCTGATTGAGTTGCAGCGCATATCCGCCATTCTGTTCGGGCAAGCAGCATAGCAGTTCTGCAGTGCTGCGCCATTGATCCGTCGCAGGGCTGTTACGTTGACAGTCCGTGACGTGGAAGCGCGATGCCCTTTTGCCAGCATGCTTGTGAGCATGCGTTTGGTCCTCGCGGGGGGCACTTGGGGGCTTCTTTGGCGCCGAGGCTGGAGGATGTCCAGAGGCCCTCGCGGACCTCGTGGAGGCCTGCCTGTTGGGCGATTGGTGGACTACTCGGGCTCTTTCGGGAGGAGTCTTGGAGCTGCCAGGAGCATGTGGAGCGGTCTTGGAGACTTGTCGGAAGATCTTTGGAAAATCTTAGGCCAGTCTTGGGCCGTCTTGAAGCTGCCTTGTGGGGTGGGAGACTCTTCGCCGTCCGGGAGCTATATTGGGAGATGTTAGGCCATCTTGTGGCAGTTTGGAGCCCAGTCCTCGGTCAGGAGCAGTGGCGCCTTGAAAATTCCCCACGCCCCGCACCCCACTCGATTAATTTCAGAGGGGGCAGCGGATCGAAGACGCATACGGCGAGTCACCGCGGACCCTTGCCCCTCGCGGAAACGCTAGATAGTTGTGCCCGGCTGTCGACGCAAGGTTTGTGCGACGGCGATGAATGTACAAGTTTTGTTGGGACGGTTGGGGGAGCGCATGGGGTTGTATTGGGACTCCTTTGTGGCCTTTGGGGGGGCCTCTTGGACGTTCTTGGATACCCCCTGGGGTCCTCTTGAGCTGTCGCTGGGCGCTCTCGGGCCGACTGGGGAGTCTCCTTGGGCCGCCTTGGGGCCTCCATTAGGTCCGCTGGGATCGTCATGGTGCACCCTTGTATGTACACAAAAGATATGGACAAGCAGTGTGTGTATATGTGTGTCCACGCCCACCGGTGTATATATGTATGCACTTCATATGTATATATATATAAGCATACATATATACATACATACATACATACATACATACATACATACATACATACATGCATACATACATACATACATACATACATACATGCATGCATGCATACATACTTACATATATACATACATGCATGCATGCATGCATACATACATACATACATACATACATACATACATACATACATACATACATATGTACATACATACATATATACATACATATGTACATATGTACATACATACATGCATAGTCAAAGCGTTGTTTGATTACGGTCGCCTCTTGGGCGTTCTCTTGGGGTCCTCCCAGGTGTCATGGGAACCTCGTGGGCCGTCCTGGGGTCACCTTGAGCCGTCCTGGTGGCCACCACGGGCCATCTTGGCCGTCCTGGAGGCCATCTTGGCGGCATCGCGGACTCGGAGCCGCCTTGGTGCCTCGGTGGAGTCTTGGTCCCGAGAAGCCGACAGAAGGCAGAGCTTCCCTGGACTGGAACGACGGGCCGAAGGGACGGCGGAAGCTTTTTGAAGGGACCTGAAGCGGGTCAGAATGTGGCATGCCAAGCAGCCGTTCGAGGAATCGAGCGGAAACGACGGATCGAGTGGCGTTCGGCCTCTCCACCCATCGCGCCTGGATCGTGACCAGGAGACCTCTTCTAGAGTCTTTTGGGTGGCCTCTCTGTAGAATTCTTGAGACCTCCTAAAACCTTGGGGGCCTCTTGGAGGCCTGCTGCTGGTCTCGGCGGCCATCTTGGGAGTGTCCAGGGGGGCGATGTTTGTTAGTGGCCATTCTTGGTGGTCCTTGGGCCCCCCCCTCGGGAGCTCGGGGGCAGGCTTGTGGCGATCTCGGAGCCTCCTCGTCTGTTCCGGACGTCACGAGTAAGTCGCTAGCCCTAAGGGCCCCCGAAACGGCCCAGGAGACCCCAAAAGGACTTCAGGCCGGGCCCGTGGAACCATCCCTTTCCCCAGGCATGCCAGAAGTTTAGATTCCTTAGCCCTCTCCCGAGGCCTCTTGAAGAACCGCTCGACGAACCCTTTGAGCGCGAGAGCGCTTGGGAGCGGGTCAGACAGCCTTGAGTTGTGTGCCCCAGGGCCTTGGAAGAGCATTCACTGCATTCAGCACTGCCTCGCGGCACGGTGGTGGATACGGTAACAAGAGACAGGGTTACGTATGATGAAGAGCCATGGCTTAGTTTTATTACATGACGATGGATTGCTGGGCCGACGCGTTGTCTTCATTGTTATGGTGGGTCATCATAGATCTGTGTCATTATCCTGAACATTCCCCCATGTGTCCATCACCTTGAGGAAGAAAGCAAAGCTTGCCGACATCACAGATGATGACATACAGAGCTTCTACGAGGATCTCCGCCACTGTACATGCTTGGCAAAGAAAGAAAAGCGCCTGTTGTTAAAGTGGGGAGTGACGAGAGGAGGACGTGAAGATCATGAGCACACATGCAGAGGGACGGTCCTGGGGAAATGGCCAGTGTCAAGCGGGGGAATGCGCAGCTCCGCTGGCGCGGATTCGCATGGATTCAGAGCGGGGGTGCTCCACAGGGCTAGGACATGCAGCCTAAGTCGAGAACAGGCAGTAACTTCCCAGCTCGCTCCCCATGTGTGATCATCACCCAGCACTGCACTTCTGGCGGCCCGTATCGGGCCCCGCCCCTACAGCACCGCCAAGACAACGGAAGAGTACCCCACGGGCCTCTGGCCGAAGCGCTCCCTGTGCCGGCGCTCGCGGGGCCAGTGGGGTTTGGATGTGGGTGCCGTCGGAGCCAGGCGCACGGTGAGCAGCACGTGAAGGACCTCATATCGCCGAGCGCGTTCCACTACTCGCAAAGTGCCTACTCGCAAACGTCCGAACAAAAACCTGTCCGCGCTGACGTGATTTATGGTAGATCCCCGGCGGGGATCCAGGCCATTTGCGAGTAGTGACTTGGCGAGTAGTGGAACGCGCTCGTCGATCATAGATGACGCTGATCGGCGGCGCGCTCGGGGGAAAATGAGCAGGGGCGGGCCTTCCCCGAAGGCTCGGAAGGTCTCCGGTGGTGGACGACAACCAATGGAGAGGACGCAGATGTCCAAAGCATGTTTAAAGCATGCCCGAGACATGTCGAAGCCATGTTTAAAAAACAATGTTCAAACAGTTTAAGCACACTTTTAATTCCATGGTAGGATTGCTAGGGTGTCTATCGTCATCGAATTCACAAGCCTCCGGCCTTCTGAGAAGTTTCCTGCGCCTTCCCCGAAGGCAGAAAACATTATCAGAAGGCCAGCTGGCTTCTGGGACGCCCCGCCGCCTTCTGAGAAGGCATCCTCCTCCTCGTTTCCCCCCCTCGCTCGCGTAGGTCCTCAGGGGTCTGGGCGACTTCCCTGGGAGCAGCTTCTCGTCCCGAGTCGTGTCTGTTGACGGTCCCGGGGCCCGTTGGAGGCCCCCCCAGGGGCCGAAAGTGGCAGAAAACTTGCCGCCCGGATTCTTTCGCTCGGCGCCTCGGATCCCAGCACGTGGGAGGCTTCATCGATGACGTTTCTGGGCCTGCCAGATGGGGTCCGAGCAGATGGGGTCGGAGGATCGCGCCCTTCTCGCCGATGCGGCGCGATGCGGAGCCCGATTTTCTCCACACCCACGTCGCCGACACGCCGCCAATACGTCGCCGATGTATCGGCGATGCATCGGCGATGTATTGGCGATTCGGCGCGATCCTCCGACCCCATCTACTCGGACCCCATCTAGGAGGCCTCTGGACATGGTTTATTTCTAAGTCTTCGAAAGTTATTTGATTGTTTGGGGTGGCCAAGATCCTTTCATTTCTAATTGTTCTATCCTGGGCCTCTTGCTGGCCACTAGGGGGCCAGGAACAATTGGAAGCGAGCACAATTAGAAATGAGCACGATTCGAAATGAACGACGTGCAATTGATCTCGCGATGAAGAACCACAAAATAGTCTGGGGACGATGTTTTTAATATTGTTGGGTATGTTTGGGGTATGTTTGACTAACTTTTATGGTTCGTCCGAAATCCTCTTGTAGAGGGTGCACGCCCGATTCAACTCTACTCGGACCCCATCTAGGAGGCCTCCAAGTGGCCAGGAAGAGGCCCAGGATAGAACAATTAGAAATGAAAGGATCTTGGCCCCCCCAAAAAAGCAAAGAACCTTCGAAGACTTATGGACAATGTGTAGTTGATCTCGCGAGGACGTTCGCTCCGCGTGCCGTGGACGCCTCGCCGCGGTCGTGGCGCGTGCGCCCGCGTGCAGTTCTGTGGTGGCAAGGGCGCCGCGCGGAGCCTGGCTGGCTGCGAGGCGCTGTCGTCGAGCAGTGGCGAAGCGCCCCGGCTCGCCTGATGGGCTTGTTTTCCGCCACCACCACTATATGCTGGAGGGGGAGGGGGTCCTCCTCCTCCTCCACCTCCTCCTCCTCCTCCTCCTCCTCCTCCTCCTCCTCCTTTTTGTCCTCCTCCTCCTCACCCTCCACCTCCTTCCCCCTCCAGCTTCGCCTATACAGTGAGGGCGCGCATCAAGAACCCATATGCTTTTCGTCGGGGTATCCTGGGTCTCTTCGCTCCGAGCGCTGCGCGGTGACTTCCCGCAGCCGCTGAAGAAGCTGATGCGTTCCAGGTGCTCTGGGTTTCCCCTCAGGGTGCACCCTGCGCGCGGGTTTTCAGGGTCGGGTTTCTTGCGAGGGTTTTTGGCCGCGCCCGCACTGTAGGACCACCAAAGAAAGTGATCGTGTTTCGTTCATTGGTTTGCCAATCGGCGCGGGCCCTCGCACCCCCCTCCCACCCCCCCTGGAGTGGATCTTGGCTGTTTTTGGCGCCCGTTCCGAGCACCCTCCCCATGGGACGCCCTGTCGCAAATAATCGCGCTAAGCAGAAGTCTGGAGCCAGACCCCCTCCCTCCCCCCCTTCCCGCCCAATGTCGAAACGCCAAAAAGATGCTCACAATGTTCCAAGAACCTGTCGCGGTCTGCACGACATGTTCTTCGAACATTTCTGGCCGAGACTGTGTGATTGTAACACGTCCGGCTTCTGTTCTGAGAACAGTGCTTTTGTTCGTGGAACATTTTCGGGCTCTAAGAACATTGCGTGGTAGGGCCATAGGCATGCCGGGACGGTCGGTCCCTGCTCAAGCTGTGGCCGCGCCTTGGTCGTGAACAAGAATCGATGGCGAGCCCAGGGGGGGAGTGAGAAGGGGCGGGCCTTCCCAGAAGGCTCGGAGGCCACCCAGGCTTATGAGAAAATGTGGTATCAAGAAAGGAAGAACGAACCAGACCGCACACTTGGCGTTGCTGAACGGCTCTGGGCGTTCACTAAACAGCCTTGCCCTGTTCGATTCCTTCTTTGGGCGCGTTTACAAAACGACTTCGCGTGTCGGGGTAGTTATTATGGGGGTGTTTTTTTGACCTCTATGGTAAGCCTTCCCCGAAGACACAGAGAACGTCTCAGGAGACCGAAGGGCTTCTGATAAGAAGCCGCCGATCGAAGAAGAACGCACTGCATAAACACAAACTTTCGACGGTCCTCGTGGATTTCTTGGATCCGCGCTGGGCCCCCGCTGGCGGCGTCTCCGGCGCCGCCCCTGGCGCGCTGGGGGGCTGGCGCAGATCTAAGAAATTTAGGCGGACCGTCAAATGTGTATGTTTATGCCGTTTTATGTTCCTCTATCGATGTCTGGGTCGTGCACAACAAATGCCCCTTAGATGTACTATGGAGGCATCTTGGGGGCTCCGTGGGACCTTCCTGGGGGCCTCTCTGAGGCCTCTGGGGGCCTCTCGGGGGCCTGCTGACTGTCTCGAGGGCAGTTTTGCGATGGAGGCTCCAAATTGCAGTCCGAGATCCCCCTCTTTGGCTCCACTCGGGGGCCTCTGGGGAGCCTCCTGGGCCTCTCTTTCGGACCCTCGGAGGCACTCTTGGGCGAATCTTCGGGGTATTGGAAGCCGTGCCGGATGTTTTGAAAACCACAAAGCTCAGCATGCGAACACAATTCAGATATGATTCGTCTGTTTTGTCCGAAGATTTGGGGGCTTGACCCCAGGGCTTCAAGACAGGCCACGAGGCTCCCACGAGAACGTCAGGACGGCCCCTCGAGGCAATCAAGGCGATTGGGGCATGCTGGAGGCGGTATGGGCGAGCTTGGCATCCCGGAGGCCAACTCGATAAACGCCGGAAGCGCCCAGCAGCGCCCTGGAGTTCCGGCAAATGGGTGGCCTCCAATTTTCACCCATTTGAGCTTTGGGGAAGGGCACTCCATTAGGTGTTGAAGGCACCGTGACGGACCAAAGGTCAACAAGGCCCACGAGTGGTGTGGGACTGGCAAGGAGACTGGAAGAAGGATGACGGCCCTTAGCATCAACTAAAGGATGACCGTCCCCAGCATCGACTGAATTATCTTGCTCCAACCCGTCGCCTCGTCCCTTACTGATCCTTTCTTCTGTGTCATCCGATCTCCCTCCTCTCACCTTCCACCCCCTCCTTTCTCCTCCTCCTCCTCCTCGTCCTCCTCCTCCTCGTCCTCCTCCTCCTCCTCCTCGATCCTCCTCACCTTCCTCGATCCTCCCTCCACATTCCACTTTCCCCCTCCTCCCCCCCACCGCTTCCTCCTCATCATCAGGCTCCCCCTCCTCACATGGTCCACGCGCCCAGGATGCCGCCGACGCGCCAGGGCTCGTCCTCCAGGCCGGGCGACCTGTCCGCGCGGTCGGCTCGATGCCATATGGCGCGAGGGAGCTCAGCCGACCGTGCGTGTTGTCCAAAGATCTTAGGGCTCCCTGCTGGGCTGGACTGCAGGAGGAGGAGGATGAGGAGGAGGAAGAGGAGGAGGAGGAGGGGGAGGGGAGGAGGAGGAGGAGGAGGAGGAGGAGGAGGAGGAGGAGAAGGAGGAGGAGCAGCGGCGGCGGCGGCGAACATCAGCAGATCAAGACGTCAGAGTGGAGCTAAGTCGCGGTGACCGAGGGGCAGCGCGAGAACAGAGCATCCGCGCCGATGTTAAACGGGCAACCATCCCCCGAACACCCACTACGCAAGAGGCCCTGGCATTGGCATTCCCCTCTCCAGGACATGGCTGCAGCAGGCGGATGTGTGGCGTGCCTATCTTGCAAGGGGCTGTCGGCTCCCAGTCCGCGTTTGCAGAGAGGAGTGCACTGCCATGAGAGAGCCTAGCACGGATGGCGACCTGGTCGCGAGGAGGCCTCCGTAAGCGTCAAAAAGTGACTCAAATTCCTGAGCCTTTTCCTCCCCACGTGAACTCGAGCCACCCCCCCCCACACACACACACACACACACACACACACACACACACACACACACACACACACACACACACACACACACACACACACACACACACACACACACACACACACTTTTTGCGTCGGCGGCTTGGCTGAGTGACTGCGCTGGCGGACGGGGCAAATGTAGGGCATGCAATTGCTAAATAAGCCGCGATGCACGTGTGGAAGAGGGGGAAGCGGCCACACACACACACACACTCGCACACACGCACAGACACTGTTTGGCGAGCACGGCCTCGCGCACAGCGAAGAGGCGGAGAACGTCAAGCACAGCGAGCGGGACCCCGCACAGCGAACGAAGTGGGGCCTCAGACCGGGCCGCACCATATGCCGTCCCGGCGTGGCGTGAACGACTGGGAGAAAGTGAGGACGAGAGAGGGGACCGACCTGGCTGGGAGAAGGGACTCGCACGGCACCAAGCGACAGCGAACCAAGCGACGAAGGAGGTAGCAGGCGCGAATTCAGATAGCGAGCGAGCTACTGCCGCGGACGAAGCGTGAGAGCGGTGAGCGGAAAACGGTGGAGGGGCAGAGCGAACACACACACACACACACACACACACGCACGCACGCACGCACACGCACACACACGCACACACACACACACACACACACACACACACACACGCCGCACACACACACACATGCACACACACACACACACACGCACACACACACACGCGCTCACACTCAGGCACACACTACACACTACACACACGGCCGCAGGAGACCATCAGCGGCGTTGGTGGCAACCCCATCGGGATCGAGCGCGATCTGATCACAAAGTTCTTCGGCGACGGCGACCATTTCGGGAGGTCCAGCGCGCGGCGCGAGTATCATACTTGCTTGTGCAGGCGTGCCTCGAGGTGTGTCAGGCAGCATCTTCCACCAACGCATGCGTACGACCCACACGTACGTCTCACACACGTGCAGCACCATCAACTTTACCATGGCTAGCTCTACGAGTATACTTGGTACGGGGTCGCGGGGTCGCATATCCCAATGGCAAGTGAGCCCCCCCAAGATTCTCAGAGGTTGCATTCACGACCCAAAGACCCCAGACCGCCCCAAAGCTGGAACGAAGACAGCCCGCGACCAGCCCCGGATGGTCACACGGTTGCCTAGAGGTCTAGAGGTGGCGTTCGATCTTTCCGAGATGATACCAGGACCTCCCTCGGCGCGGGAAAGAGTTCGCCCCAGACGCCCCAATCATTTCGATAAGGCCCCTCCACGGCCCCCAAAGACCCATCCAGAAAAAACGTTGGGAGGCCAAGGAGAGCGGGAAAAAATATGTGTTCGTTGGTTCCTGTTGTGTTGTTTCCAGACGACCTTCGGATCGCCCCGAACGGCGACAGCGCCGAGTCAATTAGAGAGCAAATCAGGAACACGCACGCGCGCACGTGTGGGTGCGCATGCATGTGCACACAGATGACGAGTGCGCGTGCTGGTGCATCAGAGAGCCACGGACCGAGATTTGGGCGTATCTTGCAAGGGAGGAGCGCTCTAAGATGTAGGAGTCATGGGACTGTAGCGCCCATCCTTGGACATATTTCGATGCGATCTGGCTGATTCTCTGTAGTGTCCGGCGCCCAGTGGCGACCATGCCGCCGCCTTCGAGACCCTGAAGGAGCAGATGCGCAATGGAGAGCCCATTGTCGGCGAGGACAGCTCAAGTTCGGCGTCAGCAACCCGTCTCCTCGCCCGTTCCCCATGATTTGATCTCAACCTTTCGCCCCTGCTCAATTGAAGGTTCTTCAGTCGGCCAGTCAATCAGTCGTTCTCCGAACTACGTCCATACACTATGTCAAGACGAGTTGTCCAGTCAGCCTATATCTCTGCCTTCTGCCTGTTCGGTCGGCATAGTATTGGACAGCCGTCTGGTTTATTCAAGAGGGTTACGCCAGTCCGCCAACCCCCAAGGACAGATTTGACAGACTAGCTGGAAAGAGAGAAGGACGTGGAGGCGGAGGAGGGCGAGAAGCAGGAAGGGGCCTCTTAGGGCATCTGGAAGGCTTTTGGGGGTTGCTTAGGGGCTTCTTGGACGTCTCTTGAGGGCCTCTGGGATGGCTCTCGGGGGCCTCTTTGGGACGCCTCGGGGGCTGCGGGGGCATCTTGAGGCCGGAGGCTAGAACATCAGCTCGTGTTCCCAATGTTGAGTCCATGTTGGGGTCTCTTCGGTGCCTCTTGGGGCGATCTTGGGCGGCTTTGGGGCAATCGTAGGGCCCTCTTGGGCCGTCTTGGGGGCCTCATGGGCCGTCTTGGGAGGATTTGGGGGGCCTTTTGGGACGTCCTGCACGGTGTCAAGATGAAGAAGGCGAGGAGGCCACACATGTACGTTTCCCGATGGGAGTGAGACGATGTTTGTTTCTTGAGGCCTTCCTCGGCGGTCCTGAGGAAAAAAATGTGGGCCTTCTTGGAAGCCTCGTGAGCGTCTCGAAGCCATCTTTTTAGGCGTCGTGGGGCTACCGCAGGCCGTCTCGACACTCTCTGGGACTGTCTTGGCGCTCTGTTTGGGGGTCTCTTCGACAGTCGCAACGCTCGTCGGAGGCTCCAGACGCCCCAGGGGTGCGTTGACTGACGAGCTCGTTCCCCCCCACCCCCTCCACCCCCTCACCCCATTCCCCCCCCCTCCCTCCCCGCCCCCTCACCCCCTTCCTTAAACGGGATTCGGGACCCTGGAGGGGGGAAAGCAGCAGGGGGTCAGCCAAATGTCTCACACGCCTTCTCACGCCCGGTAAGCGGGGGTCGGCAGATATTTCCGCCTCAGCATATGCTTTTAGTCCACGCACCCGCCGCCTGCATTCAGAGTGCTAGCAGAGCTTCAGCATCGGATACGAAGACCCGACGGAACGACTGCGCGTATCTTCCGATGGACGGTCGTTCTTCCTCTTCGTTCCTTCTCTCCCTCCTCCATGATTCCTCGTCCTCCGCTTCCCTCCTCCATTTGTCTTCCAGTTCCATTATCTCTTGTCCTCCTCCGCCTCATCATCATCAACATCATCATCATCATCATCATCATCATCATCATCATCATCATCATCATCATGATCATCTTCATCATCATCATCATCATCATCATCATCATCATCAGTTTCCCTCCCCTGCTCCCCATCATCACACTCCTTGCCTACTTCCCCTCCCCGTCACGATCCTTCTCGTCCTCCCCGTCATTCTCGATTGCCCGTCTCCTCGCTATTCCTCTTGCCGCCTCGCGAAGCGCAGGACGACGGCAAGGGCTGGATATGGCTGGTAGCCGACAACGACAGGGTGGAAAGCCTGTCCCTCGAGCTCCGGAAGTCCACGCCAGTAGGGCTGCGTCCACTCGTGGTTGCGAAGCAGGACCCATTGCAACCGTGCGTCCAGGGCAGGCACACGTGCGCTCTCCTTTTTCTCACGCTGGTTGAACAGCGTATGTTTTCATAGATTCCTGTCGCCACGTTTGGAATCGAGGTTGCATTTCGTATTGTTTGGTGTGGTTGCGCGTGTTGGTAAATGATGGCGGCCGCTGTGTGTGTGCGTGCGTGTGTTGAAGTGATGGTTGTGGTGGCCAAGATTGGAAGCAGTGCTCACTCGCAGTGTAGGAAGATCAATGTAAGTGTGCGTTGGGCGCCAATCATGGCCGTGGCAATGACAGCCTCGATGGTGACCACGGCCAGGAGCCAAACTAAGGCATCTCGAAGTCGGCTCACGAGTTTTGTGGCCAGGACATATGCACGCCGAATCCTTTGACTACGAGAGCACTGGACTGGTTGCAAATATGACCTTGAATCACCCGCTTCGTCGCTACACAGGCATCGGCAGTCTCTCTGGGTACTCGATGTCTCTTTTCCCATCCCACACGTATCTCCAGACGTTTGGCTTGATATGTATGCTTTTCTGTTCAAGTGTTGGCCAGCGTATGGCTGCCGGTTCTCTTGGTTCGCAGCGGCGGTGGTTGTCGACAGCCCCGCCGCGTTCCATGTCAGCGGTCAAGCTTCAGCGTCTTTGTCGGCGCGGCGCGTGCGCCTTGCGACGGGCCCATGTGATGGCCGAGGGGGGTCTATTTGAATTTGCTCATGGCCACCGAACCCAAAGGGCATGGACGGGAGCAGGAAGGGCCACCTAACGATTCGACGGCCCCTGGCTGAGGCACGTGCGACTCAGCCCCCTCGACTCTTTCCAGGTTCGAGAGCAGGGCCTTCAGGCCGGGCTAGGGGAGAGACGCAGCGGACGAGGCAGAGGGAGGCGGAGGGCTGGCAGAGGGACGGAGACCCTTCGCTCTGAGATCCAGAAGGCCGTCTGTTGGCTGATTGCCTGCCTGGCCTGCCCGCCGTCGTTCGAGACTGTCATCAGCAGTCCACGGCCACGCGGGCCCGCTGCCACAGTGACTCCTGCCCTCACGCGCAATGCTGCACAAGGCGTCGTCCTCGACGGGTCCGAAGTGAGCTCGGATCGCTGCGAGCAAAGTAGATGTGTTCGGAGACGTCTTTGGAGACGTCGAGTTTCAAGCTTGCATTGTCGCGTGTGCTTCCGTGGAGTTGCCTGGACGCCCAGTTCTGATCATGATTTGATTGGTTGCGAGGTCGTCTCCCCCAACAAAAGTCCGAACCCTAGATCTACGAGGTGGCGAGCGCTACGACGGCTCCGACTCCTGCTGCGGCTCATCCCCCGACGCCGGCTCCAGCTCCGACGTCCTTCCCGGCCCTGGCTGCAGTTCGACTCCAGCTCCGTCCAACGATGCCAGCTCCGACTCCAGCTCCCACGCTGGCCGGCGCACCAACTCCGTGACACTGCACTGCCTCGGCAGGTGCCGGCCACCTCTGGCTAATCCAGGCGTGATGGTTTCGTGGTCGGCTTCCAAGCTGATATCTGTCTGGGGCCTCTCGGCGAGAGCGAGCACGAGCCTGGAATTATCGGTCCAAGCGCTGTCATTCGAAAAGTTATCTTGGCTGTGATGGGGTCCGGCTCTTCGTCGTGACGCGTGTCACCTTGGGTGTGCCGGCCTATCCGCGAGTGATGGTCCCCAGGACAGATGCCGGCACGCAGGCGGAATACATGACTCAAGCAGTGGCGAAGCGTCCTGGCTCGCCTAACCCGGATAAGCGATTAAGGACCCCCCCCCCCCCTCTCCGGTGAAAAGATAACGCACCCGGCACCCGGAAGCGTTATCCTGGCACCAGGAGGGGGTACACCCTCCTGAAAGAATGAGGAAACGCATGCGGAGGAGTCAGAGAGCTTCAGTGGCCACGCGTCTTTCCAGTGCTCGACCCTCGCTGTTCGGTGCCGTAACCATGTACACTGATCCACTCCTACTCTGGCTCGGGGATTTATTTTGGTCCTGCCGGGTGCTAAGATAACGCCGCGGTGCGGGGCGGGGGCGATACCCTGGGATGGACCACCTCCTACGACGGCCGAAAAAAATAATTGTTCCAAAGGGGTTGCAATAGAAATCTCATTAGAAAAATGGGGGCTGGAGGAAGAGAAGGAGGAGGAGGAGGAGGAGGAAGAGGAGGAGGAGGACACGGAGGAGGACGCGCTCACAGACAAGGCTCCCGCCTTGGACTTCCTCCATACTCAGGCCTTGGGGGTACTCTGCGAGGGTCACTGCGAGGGTCACAAGTTCTCCTTAGCTTTTCCTTAGTTGTCCTTAGCTTTTCCTAAGCTTTTCCTTAGTTTTCCTCAGCTTGTCTTAAGTTTTCCTTAGTTTTCCTTAGCTTTTCCCTAGCTTTTCAATAGTTTTCCTTAGCTTTTCATTAGTTGTCCTTAGCTTTTCTCAGCTTTTCCTTAGCTTGTCTTCGCTGTTCACAGCTTTTCTTGATATTTTCTTGAGTTTTTCTTAGTTTTTGTCTTAGCTTGTCTTAGCCTGTCCTTAGCTTTCCTCAGCTTTTCTCAGTTTTTTCTTAGCTTTTCTAAGCTTTTCCTTAGCTTTTCTCAGTTTCTCCTTATTCGTATTCGTATTGCTTATTTTCCTTACAATTCTAATTGGGATGCCACCCGAGGCGGGGCGCTGGAATTGTTTTTTTTCCTTCCATGTGCGCGGTGCTAATAATATCGCTCGGCGAAAACCCCCCAAAATAATTATTTAATTACGGCGCGGTGCTAATGATAACGCCGGGGGGGTCCTTAATTGCTTCTCCGGGTTATAGCCCTACATACCAAACAATTCTAGACGCTTCGCGTATCCCCCACCAGCTTGCCGCTTGCCGCCTGATCCGCGGCCCCGCGCGCGCTCGGGAATTTAGTCGCGGCCGCAGCCCGACCGTGACTGCTCGCCGCTGTGCGCTTCCGCCTGCGGCTGTAACAAAAAAAATCCCCACCAGCCCTCGGCCTTGGCACTCTCTGGGAGGACACAGACCACGCAGTGTGCTCCCTCCCCCCGGTGCCGCACGTCAAGGGCCGACGTGCGACGCTCTGCGGTCGGCGCCAGTGCACTCCCAAGGGACTGTTCCGGCAGGTTCCCCAGGCGTGGAGTGCAACAACCAGGGATTGCTGCAGTTACAGGAAGCACCCTGGGATGGTTGGCCTGCAGGAGATCTTAGGTAGCGCCTCCGTCGATCCAACCTGGGTCCAACTCCGGGAGGAGATCAAGGACTCAGGTGGCCTCCCCATGGAGTCTTGCAAGACCCGCTCGCTCTTGGTGGTCATGATGTTAATGCTCCGCGAGCCGCGCGTGTTCTTGTGGCCGTTCCCTCAAGCCGAACAGGCTGGGGACGTGATTGAAGCCATCCTGGGTTTCTGTGTCCCGTGGCAGGAAGCGCATCGAGGGTTCCGGCAGGACTTCGCGAGCACCTGGGGCCTCACGCTGGAGGATCTGGCCGATCCTCACGGCCGCATCGAGGCAATCCTGCCCCACATCTCCCAGCTCGTTGCGGTGGCACACCACCACCCCGAAGCACAGGCAGCTGGCTGCCCACAGACCTGGAGTGAGATGGACAGGCACGACTTCCAGCTGAAGGCCCCGATGCTCGTCCTCGAGAAGATCGTCCCAGCCGCCTCACTGGCCCCCCTGGGTACGCACCACTGCTCCGTGTGCGCGCTGCACACCGCGCTCGCTGGCTCAGACGCCTCCCTGGGTGACGACGACCGGGGTGCTGGGCTCGCCTACATCGGCGGCGGACTCGCGCTTTCCAACACCGATCTGGACGCCCCCATGCCGTCCGCCCCTGCTCCAGGTACCAATCAGGACCCTCCGCACATCCCCGACGACAGGCTGTTGGCTGAGCAGAAGCATGGCAGGTTCAAGTGCGACAGATGCGGCAAGGATCAGCTACGCTCCACAGACGGTACATGGATCTCGGACGATGCACGCCTGATGGTAACGCAGAACCGGCCCCAGGCCTACCTCGACGGTGCAGACATGGGATGGCACTGCGAGATCTGCTGGATCCGACACCTGGAGGAAAAGGGCATCCCAGCACCAACTGGTGCAACAGTCGCGGATAAGGTCAAGGAGTACGAACATTGGAGGACCGGTGGCACAAGTGACAAGAAGGCGGTTGCCCTCCCCTCCCTGGGTCATCTCCCACTTGGCTTCGGATGCAGCCCCCAATCGGACACGAGGACGCTGGCGGATCTCATCATGACGCCGACGGGCATGCACATCCCCACGCGCGCCAACACCACTAATCCCATCCTCCGGGTCAGAGATGAGCGGTTCGGCCTCAAAGTTGCGGAGAACAAGGTCTACTCTGCTCGGTGCGACACATGCCCCCCAGGGGCGCCGCTCCTAGTCTGGAATACTGGAGCACCTCCCCTGGGCTGCTTCATATGGAAGCCAAAGGAAGGAGTGGGTGTGCCCGAGCAAGCAGGGCTGCCCCCCCATCGAGCGGCGAGCCATAGCCTGGTGGGAGCGCGACTGGAATGCCACGTGGTGCTGCCGGCGGTGCCCGGTCCCCATCTGGAACATCGGGCCCGCGACTCTGGACCACATCGTTGGGAGAGACCACAGGGCACTTTATCCAGCTGAGGCCCCTGTCCTGCCAACGCTCAAGAGCCAGATTGTAGCGGATGCGCCAGCGGACATTCTCAGCACCCTTCCCTGGATGGGCGCCGACGCCAAGGCCCCAGATCGCTTCACCAAGACAGGAGCGGCAAACCTCCCTGGGTCCAGCGCCTCGGGAGCAGCTGCCCCCGTGGCCGAGCAGGCCCCCAGGACTCTCTCGCAGCTCATGGAGCTCCTGCCTGAGCTGCCAGCCCCTCAGCGGCCGCTCCTGGACTGCAGGGACGTCACCAACCCCACGCTCAGGTCAGACGACCCCAGGAGTGGGTCTGGCAACGGAGACGTGGTCGTTCAGCAGCTCCTCGTGACCTACCTCCGGGACTTCCACCCTGGACTGGATTACATTTGGCGGCAGTTCTGT